CCCCAAAACCCCAAAACCCCAAAACCCCAAAACCCCAAAACCCCAAGATATTTTAATTAAGTTGAATATTTGGATAAAATAAGATATGGAATCATCTGTTCCGATCTGGCAACACCACAAAGACATTCTCACTCAAGCCGGCCTCGACTTCGATGACATTGAGAAGACCAGAAAACACATTCACCAAAATGCGGAATGAGGCTTCAAGGAATTCAAGACTCGAAAGACTATCTTAGGATATTTTACAGATGTGGATAAAGATAATAATATCAGAGAATACGCTACCACTGGGTTTACCATTGACATCAAAGGTACTGCTCCTCCCACTGACGATGGTGAGTGCAATGTTATTGCTCTAAGAGCTGACATGGATGCATTGCCTATCAAAGAAGAAACTGGAGTTGATTATGCCTCTGTCACCGAGTATTCCCACATGTGTGGCCATGATGGGCATGTGGCAATTTTGATAGCAACTGGAGTGTTTCTGAAAAATCACAGAGACAAGATTCCATCGAACAAGACTATCAGGCTATTGTTTCAGCCTGCTGAGGAGTTAGTAGGAGGTGCTGAGACTATGGTAAAAGAAGGATGACTGGAAGGAGTTGACGAAATCTATGGATATCACAATTCACCATTGGGGCAAGAAGGAACAATCTCTATCATGCCTGGCCCTATGATGGCTGGTAATGAGAAAGTGTATATTGATATCGAAGGCGTTGGAGGTCATGGATCCGAACCCGCTAATGCTACAGATCCCATCACTGCAGCTTGTCACCTCCACAGTGCATTCCACACTATCAAATCCAGAAACACCTTCAACACTGATGTGGTCGTATTCACGATTTGCGAGCTTAATTCAGGGACAACTTTCAATGTGATCCCGAGGACAGCCAAAATGTCAGGAACCATTAGATATTATGATGAAAAAGTCAAAGATCTCTGTGTTAAGAGAATCGAAGAGCTAACAAAAGAAATTTGAGAAGGATTCAATTGCACCCCTAAGATATTTATTGGTGATAGCTGCCCAGCTGTTGTCAACTATGAGAAACAAACAGAAATAGTGATGGAAATAGCCAAAGAAGAATTGGGAGAAGATGCCATCAACACTACCAAAGGAATTCCTAAATTGGGGAGCGAGGACTTCTCTTGTTTCCTTCAAAAGGTTCCTGGCTGCTTCATTTTGCTAAATAATGTAAAGCCAGGAGAGACTCCTATCACTATGCACTCTTCCAAAGTTGACTACAACGACAACATCACTGGGACAGGAGTCTATCTCTATGTGAGAATTCTTGAACAGAGGCTAGGCATATCGCTCCTTGGGTCTCTAGATTCTGAATCATAACTGGAAAGGATTCAATTACTAAATCATAATTTGGGGTTTTGGGGTTTTGGGGTTTTGGGGTTTTGGGG